CTGCAAAGCATCCATTGCTGAGACACTGATGCAGTGCTACATTTCTCCAAACCTGATGAAGAAACACACTCATCCTGATCTCAGATGAACTGCAGGTGAGACACATTTTCAGCACATTTTTCATTTTTGGATGAACTATTCCTTTAACTGAAGTCTTATTTTCTGACAGTCGTTCACCTGCAAGTCATTTCCAGCTGCATATGAGCAATAAAACAGTCTTCAAACCCATGCAGACTGCAAAATCATTTTCCTAGACGTGTTGACCGGTTCAAGAATAAACAGGGCCATTGAGATATTGGTTTTCATCCACCTGTTGACCTCAGGCACTTTATCACCCAGATCTGAGAAATGAAGCCGAGATCGATGCAATCAAATACGTGGATCAAAGCACGGTTTGACGAGCGCTCAGCAGTGTATCAGTAAGTGTGGTTATTCTGCAAGCAGTTATGACTGATCAAATATCCAGACTCCAGTTTCTGCATGCATAATGAGCGTGAGATGGAGAGCGGAGCTTTATAAAGCCCACAGAAGTCAACGTTTGATTTCAGTGCAATCACTGAAGCTGAGTTATCACGGCCTGTCCTTGATTTGCAGCGAGCAGAGAGTTCGAACTCAACAAAACACAACAAACACCCATGCCAACACTGATTCTGTGCACATTCACATGCGAAACGTGTTGATACGTGACCATCAAAAACACAAATACAGATGTGAAATGTCCCTGCAGCACAGAAGCAGTGTTGAGTCGCTGGGGGATATTTGTAGCAATAGCCAACAATACATTGTATGGGTCACAATTATACATTTTTCTTTTATGCCAAAAATCATTAGGATATTAAGTAAAGATCATGTTCCATGAAGATATTTAGTAAATCTCCTACCGTAAATATATCAAAACTTAATGTTTGATTAGTAATATGCATTGCTAAGAACTTCATTTGAACAACTTTAAAGATGATTTTCTCAATATTTAGATTTTTTTGCACCCTCAGATTCCAGATTTTCAAATATTTTTCTATCGTAACAAACCATACATCAATGGAAAGATTATTTATTCATAAAAGTATGGTTATGAAATGGTTATTTTATATATTCAACTTTTATATAAAATAACAATAACAATAACAGAAATGAACATTAAATTCACGAGCAACAGCTCTGGTGGACATTCCTGCAGTCAGCATGCCAATTGCACGCTCCGTCAAAACTTGTGACATCTGTGGCATTGTGCTGTGTGATAAAACTGCACATTTTAGAGTGGCCTTTTATTGTGGCCAGCCTAAGGCACACCTGTGCAATAATCATGCTGTCTAATCAGCATCTTGATATGCCACACCTGTGAGGTGGATGGATTATCTCGGCAAAGGAGAAGTGCTCACTAACACAGATTTAGACAGATTTGTGAACAATATTTGAGAGAAATAGGTCTTAGATCTTTGAGTTCAGCTCATGAAAAATGGGGGCAAAAACAAAAGTGTTGCGTTTATAATTTTGTTCAGTGTAAAACCAGAGCAAATGTCTGCCAGTGAGGTCAGAATAAAACTGCTTTTCTGATTCCGTTGGCAGATTTGTGTTCTTGTTTGAAGCATAGACTCAAGACTGCATATCTAAGTAAATGCATGTTGATTTAAGTATGTTTGTTCTGGAAATCAAGACATCTTTTGCAGTGTGATCTTTCTTTGAAATCAATTAAAGTAAATGAAAGTTTGGGAGCCTTTGCTCTCAGTTTTGCAGACACAGATGATCCGTAACACGGGTTTTTATCAGCGAGAGAGCGTCTGAGAACCACAGACCCTCTCAACGACTCAATCACACAGAGGCCCTGCGGTGAAAATGACGGATGTTTTTGACCCCGTCCTGCTGTCGGCCGTCCCTCGTCTCTCCTCTTTCTCTTTGTCCAGCACTTATTCTCCACCTGTGCTGTTTTCCTGGAGGTGTGCGGATGCATTGTGTTGGCTGTGAGGTAATAACAGGTAAATGCAGTTGTTTGTGCACTTTCTCCCAGCATGCTCTAACAGGGACAGACTTCTGGCGATTACAGCAAACGTGGATGAAAGCTTTTCCATTCTCAAACAAATGCACACAGCAGAGAAAAACCTGAGAGCTTCACACAAACGACGTTTACAATTCACTTACAGCACTTTATAGGAAATGCATCAGAATAAAGAAGCTTAATTGTTAAATATGCATCAAGATTACTGACCTCATGTCATCAGAAATATCAGATTTACTAACATACTTAAAAAAAAAAAGTACTTTTTTAAAATTAAATAATTATTAATTTTTTTTTACTAAATAATAATAGTTATTACTATTTTTGATTACTAATTATTATATTTTGTTACATATACGTAATTTTTTTTTCCAAGTACAAATATCTAAACATTCTTAAATCAAGATACATTGACACAAGATGCAAAATGACTTAATTAGGCCTTGTTCTCTAAAAAAAAATTAATTTAAAATTCTAAAAAATTAACTGAGTTTATGCTCAAAACAAGAACAAATATCTGCCATTGTGTTAAGAAAAATTAATTTAATTTAAAGGGAAAACAAGTTTATTTTTCTGACCCCATTTGCGGATATTTATATTTTTTCTCACTTAATTCTGATCAATTTTTCATAAAACAAGACTTAATATCTGACGTTATTTTGCTTCTCCAGTAAATGCATCTTGATTTAAGGATGCTTAGATATTTGTACTGGAAAACAAGACTAAAATGCAATTTAAATGTAGTGTAAGATATTAATTGCACAATTTTGAAAACATATTAAGGAGTAGAAGTAACTTGTTACATTCAATTATAAAAAATAAAAAACAATTTCAGTATGAATATCTAAAGATTCTTAAATCAAGACATATTTACTTGAAATGCAAAATGACTGAAGATATTAAGTCTTATTTTCTGAAGAAAAAAAAGTATCAATATTAAGTGAGTTTATGTTTAAAACAAGAAAAAATATCTGCTGATGTGAGAAAAAATAATTTTAATTCAAATAGAAAACAAGATTTATTTTTAGTGTTAAATGTTAATTGTACAATTTTGAAAACATTAAAAAGCATTAAATATTTACAGAATGTAAAATGCATTAAAATGTATAAAATATTTATAAATGATAAACAGCTGCGCAGAGATGTTTTTTGTATTAGGTTAGGCTTTCTCTGGCCTTTTCACATATTTATTCATAACTTAATTCAATGGAAATACATACATTTACTTTTTGTTACCCCTGTGTGTGTTACCTCATATAAAAACATAACCCTAAATAAATAAAGCACTCAATTCTTCTTGAATTACATTCATGTTTCTTTAAATAACTTTAAACAACCTCCTAGAAAATTAAATGGGTATTTCATATATTGTTCCTAAAGCATAAAAATGACTCATATTTGTCATCATGTGAATCATTTTGTGCCCGTCTTCTTGTCATTAAACACTCCTACGTTCACTATTATCTGGAAAAATAAAAAAACAAGCACAAATCATAGTTGTGTTATTTATGCATTAATGCAATTACATCACTCCGTAAAACAAATAAATAAATAAACGCTATAAAATAATTGATGCAACTCTCTATATAAACAACAACTTATTAAAGCCTGGCATGTTTTTAAATAGAACCTTTAGAGAAATTATATTTAAAAACGAATTTGCATATCAGGCTCTTATGGCTCATATAGTCTGATACAGTGAGAATATGAAGGAAAAAAGGACTGAGTAATAATATGAATGATATGCTGATATTTCTCTGATGAAATTCTGATTCTTGTGCTGTAAATCAGTGAGATCTTTCTAACAGTGCAGCAGATACTGAGATAAAATGCTATAAATATCAGTCGTCTCTATATCTGCAGTAACATGTCTCAGTGAGATGAGACTGAAATGCTCCAAACATATAATGCAGTGATGGAGAGCTGAAGAAATAAAGGCTCCTCAGAAGATGTGAGATGTTCTGGAGGCTTGTGAAGATCATTCCTCCGCTGAGGAACAGTGAAAGTAAAGCTTCTGGAAACAAACGCTCCTCAAAAGATCCTGAGGATCAGATTTGAGACTCTAAAACATGATTGATGGAGAATCAAGTAAAGCTGAGCTGCTTCAGTGCAGTAAGTGTTCATCTGGAGATATTACTGACGTTATTCTGACCTTTACTTGATCAAAACCAGTCCAGATTTGACACGTGAAGTTCGAGCTGAAGCTGGATGTTTGTAGGATTACGGAAAATCATCTATAGATCTGAATACTGTGATAAAGAGCTATCGATTGAGCAGCGGCTCCTCAGGGTTTAACATGAGATCAGTCATTAACCCCCTCAGATGGCCAACATTAAGCAGGAGGCAAAATATTTCTATTTTTCCATCAATATTTTATCACGTGCAAAGCCGGAAACAAAGATAGAGCAGCTTTGAAAGTAATGGCCCCCATCTGCTTTTATAGATCTGATTTTGCCCTTTGACAGAACAGACGTCTGGAGACACTCACACACACACACACACACACACCGCTGCAATGAACCAAAGCAATCACACACGCAAACATCATTAAAACAACGCAATTCATTCATCAGTTGATATATTATTTACAGTGCATGTAATATATTTGATCAGTACAATCAAACTTGAAAATCGTGACCTCTCCTGGAGCACAAACACACAAAATGTAACACTTTTTCCAATCACCGACACTATTTATGAGCAACAAAGTCAAAGCTGTTTTCTTAAGAACAAGTCCTGGATAAAAGGACAAAGAAAATCAAGCTTGAATGCTTCTCCAAGTGACTAGAGACAAGACAGAAATAAACAGACAGTACAACAAATAAAATACCAGT